CAAGTATTTATACGAGTCTAAGCAAAAATGGCAAAATTGTAAATAAATGGTCTTCAGTCTGGCAGAGTATCGGTCAGTTGTATCGGTCTAGGCTGATTGATATGAATCATATCGGTCTAGGCTGGCCGAAATTCATCCGTTGGGTTTATGTTGATCACTTCTGATCGATGCTGGTGACCAAAATTCATCCGCTGGGTTTATGTCGGTCACCCTTGACCGATACTGGTGATCGATACTGCTCCGTATCGGTCATCCTTGACCAATATTCACTGTGCTCTGACCGAAGACTTCTGCAGAGATTGTCTGCTTTGATCATTCTTGCTCCCTTTTGCCCAGCTAGCATCCTGGATCATCCCCAAAACTCCTCCAAGCTCCTTTTAGCTCCAAAAGCACCTAAAAACATCCAAAATGCAAAGAAAATGCAAACTATACTCTAAATGCAACCTAAGTCTAAAAGAAGAAGAAAATGGGATAAAAGCTAAGGGAAAACATGCAAAAGAGGACCAAAATATGTACTAAATGCAGTCCTAAATGGTGTAAATACAAGGGATATCAAAGATGTGTTTTCATTGTCTAAATGAATCCTATGAGTACAAAGCATTGGTGAAAGGCCCTTGATGTCACTGAGAGAGTACCCAATGGCCTTTCTATACTTCCTCAGCTCCCTAAGGAGTGAGTCTAACTCATCATCATTTAGATCTTCATTCACAATGACCGGATATGTATCATTTGGTCCTAAGAAAGCGTACGTTAGCCCATTTGGAAGCTGCTTTAGGTCCACCTTTGAGACTAGAAGCTCACTCCAGTCCTCCTGTTGGCTTGTGTTGAGGTTGCTGTCCTCATTCGCCCCTTTTGAACCCGAGTCATAAGCTCTTAAGCTACCGTCTTGGACCGTTCCTACCGCAGAGATCGAGCCAGTCAGTCGACCGCTCTCTCGATCTAGGCTGGATCGAGTGTACTTTCTCGATTCACTTGCTCGTTTGGATATGGATCGAACAGGAGATCGATTCACAAGGTCGTTCTCTGAACAGATCGAATTGTCTCGATCGATCGTCTCATCGATCACTTTCCTGGATCGAGAAATCTGATCGATCTCCAGGTCGATCTCTAGGCACTGGCCTTCATCTTCTTTCACAACCTTGCGAGAATCAAGGATGCGTACATATTCCTGGGTTTGTTCACTCAAGAAACCATACTCTCCACATTCCTTTGTCAAAGCCAGCTGTAGATGATCCTCATGTCCCAATTCCTCAAGTAACTCATCGGCCAATGCATCCAAAGCTTCTATATAGAACACTTGTCCATCAATCGTTGGCTTCTTCAAGACTTCGTTGATGTCAAAGTTCAGCTTGATGTCTTTGCCCAGGTGCAGAGAAATCTTGCCATTCTTCACATCTATGATGGCCCCAGCAGTTGCTAGAAAGGGTCTACCAAGGATTAGAGGGTCTCTTGGTTGCTCATCCATTTCTAGAACTACAAAATCTGTTGGCACATTCACGTTGCTAATCCTCACGGGTATGTCTTCAAGCATGCCTACAGGGAGCCTTATACTTCGATCAGCCAGAATGAGTGAGATTCTGCACTCCTTAAACTTGGTAAAGCCTAGATTTTTGGTAATGGAGTAGGCATAAGGTTAATGCTTGCCCCAAGGTCACACAAGCAACTTTCAAACTTCAAAGGGCCTAGTGTACAAGGGATAGTGAATGACCTTGGATCTCCTAGCTTCTTTGGAGCTATCTCCTTGTGGATAATCGCACTGCATTCTTGACTCAATACCAGGACCTCTTCACTCTCTTTCACCCTCTTAGCAAGAGTGTCCTTCATAAACTTGGCGTATTTTGGCACCATAGCCAAACAATCAAGCAACGGCAGTTTTAGCTCAATGTTCCTCAAGTGCTTCATAAAAAAGGCTCTATGCTTCTCAACCAACTGCTTCTTGAAACGTCCAGGGAAGGGGAGCTTTGGTTGTAAGGTGGAGGCACGAAAACTTCTTTCTCTTTGCTAATTTCCTCCACTTTTTTCTCCAAAACCGCTTCCTCACCTTTCTTTGGCCTTGCATTGTAGAGATTGTCAATTATGATCTCTTGATCATTTGAGAGATTACTCTCCCCCTCTTGAATCACAATGTCCTCATTCTCCTCAAGTATATACCGTGGTGGTAGCTCTTTCCCACTCCTCAAAGTGATCGCATTTGCATACTCCTTAGGGTTTGTCTCACACTTTCCGGGTAAGCTACCTTGACCGCTTGAACTGGCCTTTCCTTTCTCTAGCTGGCGAATCTTGTTGTTCATGTTGGTGATTTGTGTAGATACCTCAGTAAGAGAAGAGTCCAGCCTATTGTTCATATCAACAAATTTTTGATTTGTAGATGCTTGTCCTTGAAGTAATTGTTCGAACATAGCTTGTACCGGATCTTGAGGTGGAGGTTGAACTTGTTGCTGCTGTGGCACGAAACCAGGAGGGTAGCTTTTGTTCCCTTGCTGTTGCTGGCCTTGGAAGTTTCCTTGTCTTTGCCCTTGGTACCCACTGTTTTGTGTAAACCCACCTTTGTTGTAAGGAACAAAAGGTTTTCCTTGTTGTGGAGGGTATACTTGATACTTGGGGTTTTCCACATTGGTACTTCGGTAAGATAGATTGTTGTTGCCTTGATACATTTGAACATAGCCTTGTGTCTTAGTATAGTCTTGGCCTCCTACCCAATTCGTTTCCTCTTGGCTCTGCTCCAACTCATCTAGAACATATGTGGCCTCTCCCACAAAGTGTACATGCTTTTGATTTGCAAGTACCAACTTGTCAAACTTTTCCTGGAGTGATTTCATCTCCTTCTTGTGTGCCTCAAGGTCAGACCCTCTAGGTGCTCTATCATAGTCTTCACTGTAGTTGCCATCACTCAAAGCAAGGTTCTCAAAAAGCTCCATTCCCTCTTGAACATCTTGGCCAAGAAAATTCCCTTTACTATCCGTGTCTAGAAGCATTCGAATTTTGGGAAGAGCTCCTCTATAGATGGTGCTCAAGAGTGTCTCCTCAGTGAAACCATGATGAGGACATGCAATGTTGTAGTCCTTGAACCGCTCCATTGCTTCACTAAAGGGCTCATTGCCTTTGTGTAAAACCGTTAATCTCACTCCTTAGGCGAGCTGTCCTTGTACTTGAGAAGAACTTGGACAGAAATGCCTTCTTGTAATCAGCCCATGAGGTTATAGTCCCTTGAAGTAAGGTCTTCTCCCAATGCCTTGCTTTATCCCCAAGTGAAAAAAGGAAATGCCTAAGCTTGAAACTATCCTCCGAGATCCCATTGATCTTGATCATGCCACACACTTGCTCAAAGTTGTCCAAGTGCTCCAAAGGATCCTCCATGGCAAGTCCATGGAATTTGTTGTTCTGCACCATTGAGACAAATCCTGGCTTGACCTCAAAATTGCTGTTTTGTACCGGTGGTGGAGTGATGCCAAAACGATTGTGATGAGTGTTTGGTGCATCACCCGCACCGATGATCCTTGGTGGCCTTGGGGCGTGGTTGGGGTTTCCATTACCCCTACCAGCAGCAGCATGGTGAGGTAGAGCCTCAGCTTGGTCTTGCTCAGCCATACCCACAAAATCAACAATACCCGGTTGCACTATCTCCTCAAAGTCTTGTGATTGTTCTCTTGCCCTTCTTGACCTTACACTTCCAAGTTGATGAATGTTGTCTAGAGGTTGTAATAGGTTGTTGTTACCTCTAGACCTCAGATTCATGTACCTGAGAATACAAGTAGGAAGGTAGATAGATTAGTAACCAAAGTAAAAATAAAGACTTAGTCTCTACTAAGATTCAAATCCTAATACTTTCAAACTAAATCCAAGTTGGCAACGGCGCCATTTACTAAGTTGTAGTATAGTGGTAAGTATTCCCGCCTGTCACGCGGGTGACCCGGGTTTGATCCCAGGCAACAGCGCCATTTGATAACTGCCTTTGAGCATGTTTAATCAAAACTAAAGCATAGTTTTGTTGTTGTAATACTTCAAGAATCAATCCAAATCAGGTTGTTGAAAGATATCAAGAATACAAGAGCTTTGTAAATCTAAGTGAAATCCAGATAATTTGGGAAGAAAATCTGTAAAACCTAATTGCAGCTACTAAATGACCATGAAAACTGTTTTATAATCCCCACTGATGGGTTAGTTTCCGTGTCCGTACACACGTTCGATCATCTTGGTCAATCTTGACCTCGATCTTCTTCCTTGAAATGACCTTGAAACGATCTCGTCTAGATCGACCTGCCTAGCTCGATCTTCACCTCGATCTCGGTTCCTTTGCCACATGGTCGAGTTCTTCCAAGTATCCATAGGCTCCCTTTCGATCCTTATCATATCCACGCACCCTTCATAGCTCCAGTGTATCCAAAACAACCTGAATATGATGCAAGAATGCAAGAAATATGCAAATGCTAATGCAAAGTGTTCTAGGACCTAAAATGAGATAAATGATGCAAACTAGCCTATTTTAAAAGATTTATGCACGGAAACTACTCTAAATGTATGCTAAATATGCAAAATATATGAGTATATCAGATGGTCTCAAGAAAATGTTAACAGACTTTGAGAGAAGTTGGACGGATAAACCAGATGGGGTTCTCTGGTCCCACCAAACTACCTCGCAAACTGTAACAGGAGAAATCCCATTTTTGTTGTCTCACGTTTGCGAAGCTTTGGCATCCGCTAAACAGAATGTGGCGGGTGCTCGCAGAACTTTAATAGTTCCAAATCTGTAGTTAAACGATGAAACGCACGTCGATACTATTGACAATTTAAAAGACCTTTGCGATAAAGTTTTACTTTGCATTCAGAATTACCAGCAACAAATCTCCAGGTACTATGGCTGATCACCACAAAGTTTCAGGTTTGTCGAGAAGGGGGAAAACAGATTGAAAGAGGGGGAGATTGTCAAAAACGATTTGGGAAAGAGAGACTGCATCGAAAAAGAAGAGCTTGATGCTTCTCGATCTGGTTTTTATGTGAAGAGAAGTTGAAATTGGCGAAAAGTGGTGAAGAAGAACGATGGGCTTTGATATGTTCTTCAACACCGACAGCTATTGGGCTCGTGATGGATCTTATCTTGGATGGGATCCCCATGAAGGTGGAACACACGTCGTGAAGGATTCAATGTGAAGAAGGTGTTGATGCTCTTGGTTTCCACCTGAAACTCCCACCGAGAGAGAAGATATAGATGACAATATGACAATGCAGAAGGCGGTCCATTATGGTATTGCCACAGGTGCATTAACTCTTTTTGTTAAGGAGGATGTTAAACAAAATGTGGATGCTTATAATGGTTCAATATCAGCGACTTGATAAGGAGGATGTTAAACAGAATGTGGATGCTTATAATGTTGACGGTGATAATGCTCATGATGATAATGCTGATGAAAATGTAGAGGATGAGGATGGTAATCTTAATGTCTATGCTGAGGTTTATGACTATAACAGTGAGAGTGAGGATGATGGTAGGATAGATGTCGATGATAGCAAGTATAAGCAGTTTGAGATAGGTCAACAGTACAGAACCATCGACAGCTTTAAAAAGGTTGTGACTAAGTATGTTGTGAAGAAGAAGAAGAAAATTTGGTAAAAGAAGACAGATAGCAAGGTGTTCTAGCAGTTTGTGCTGAAAAGGATTGTCCTTGGAGGATATATGCGTCTATCAACAGCAGCTCCCCTAGAGTGGTTGTTAGATCGCTTCAAGAAGAGCAAAATTGCACTTGGTGTGGGAAGGTGACTCTGCTTACGAATGCAAGAATAGCTGAGTTGTACATTGAAGAATTCAGAGAGAGTCCAAACATTTCACTAGTACAACTACAGAACAAGCTCCTCAAGCGTAACATCAATGTAGCTTGGATGATTTGTGAGAGGACAAGACTGAGATGGTTGCTGACTTTTGACAGAGAGCAAGCACCGTAATTTGGGAGGCTCCATGACTATGTTTACGAGTTGAAGAGATCAAATTCTTGATCTACAGTTGAATGGGAGGTACGGGAATCCAAGTTTTATAGATTTTATGTATGTTTTGCTGCTTTGAAAGACGGATGAAAAGCTGCTTGCAGAAGGATATTTCATCTTGATTGTACTTTTCTGCAATGGAGAATGGAAGGTATGTTGTTAGTGGCTGGTGGTAGAGATCCGAATGATCAAATATTCCCGATTGCTTGGGGTATTATTGATGTAGAGAGTAAGGATAACTGGTTATGATTTTTTTTAGCATCTCATTGATAACTTAGCCTTGGGATCAGGAAATGGGCTGAATTTAGCAAGTGATCAGCATAAGGGTTTGATTGGAGCTGTGAAAATTCTGCTGCCATATGTTGAACACAGGATGTATGCCAGACATGTTCACGCTTGCTAGAAGAAGAAACACTCGGGAAGTAAGCTGGTTGACTTATTTTGGGCTACTTTCTTTCATGGATGCTTTCTCCGGCGATAATCAAATCTTCATGCACTCCGACGACACAGAAAAATCAGCTTTTATCACGGACCGCGGAACCTATTGCTATAAGGTAATGCTCTTTGGGCTGAAAAACACATGAGCTACATAACAACGATTGGTCAATAAGATGTTCGCAAGCCAGCTCGGACGGACCATGGAAGTTTACATTGGCGACATGTTAGTAAAATCCGAGGTTGCCAAAGATCACGTCGGGCATCTCAGAGATTGTTTTCGAACTCTCGAAAAGTACTGAATAAAGCTTAATCCGGACAAATGCACCTTCAGCATAACTTATGTGGAATTTCTAGGTTACGTCGTCACCCAAACAGGAATAGAAGCAAACCCAAAACAAATATCGGCAATACTAGATCTTCCTTTACCTAAGAGTACTCGCGCGGTGCAGAGATTAACCGGAAGAATCGCCGCGCTAGATAGATTCATCTCGCAATTTACGGATAAATGTCTGCCTTTTTACCAGCTATTTCAGAGTAATAAGCGCTTCGATTGGGATGAAAAATACGAAAAAGCCTTCACACAATTAAACGAATACCTGACCACCCCACTAATCTTAGCAAAACCTGAAAACGGCGAAATATTATATCTTTACATTGCAGTATCAACGACAGCTGTGAGCGGAGTCCTAGTAAGATAAGATTGCGGCGAGCAAAAACTCATCTTCTATATAAGCAAAACTCTGGATGGAGCCGAAGCCCGTTACCCTGCCCTAGAAAAATTAGCTTACGCAATAATCATCTTGGCACAAAAATTTCGACTCTACTTCCAATCTCACGCTATGATCGTCTTCACCAGTCAACTGCTTCGCAGCATCTTGCATAGTCCCAGTCAGTCTGGCCGAATGATAAAATGGGCAATAGAACTATCCGAATATGACCTCGACTATCGAACCCGAACTAGCACAAAGTTTCAGGTTTTAGCTAACTTCTTGGTCGAAATACCTCTAGACCTATTAGTTGATGAACCACCTATTGAGAAGAAATGGAGCTTGGACGTCGATGGAGCTTCCTCGAAGCAAGGTTCTAGGTCGGCATCCATCTGGGCTCACCAACGGGAGAAGTTCTCGAACAATCATTTAAGCTCGACTTCCCAGTTTCAAACAACAAAGCCGAATATGAAATATTGATCACAGGGGTCCGCCTCGCCAAAGAAGTGGGAGCAAAGGATATCCACGCTTTCTGCGATTCCCAGCTTATCGCCAGTCAATTTAATGGAGATTACGATGCTAAGAACGAACTGGCGAAGTAAGTCCAAGAAATAACTAAGCAATTCATATCATTCGAACTGGCGAAGATACCGCGAGCTGAGAACACCACCGCCGATGCATTAGCAGCACTCACATCTTCGATAGATCAAGCACTATGCCGCATAATCCCAGTAGAAACCATCGAGCAACCAAGCATCCAATTAGCCAAAAGAATATGCAACATAACTCTACATCAAGAAGACGAACTTGACGACCCAATGGAGCTCGATGCCGAGCAAGAAAAACAACCATGGCAAGAAAAAATTAAAGCATATCTGATAGAAGGGACGGTCCCGAAAGATAGATCGATAGCTGGACGTCTCTGCAGAAAAGGGGCTCAATAATTTGTTCAAGATGGCGACCTGTTTTGTTGGAATGCTAATAAAGTCATATTGCGATGCTGTGACGAAAAGCAAGCTAATGACATAATGGTTGAAACTCATGATGGGGCAGGCGGCAACCACTCCGAAGGACGAGCATTAGCTCTAAAAATAAAAAAAAACATGGACTGTTCTGGCCAAAGATGCTCCAAGACTGTGAGCAGTTTGTAGCACGATGCGAACCCTGTTAAAAGCATGCCGAACTTCTTAAAACGGCTATTCTGCCTTACCCTTTCATGAGATGGTCAATGGACGCAATCGGTCCAATGCCGAAATCAGGCCGCAACGAGCATATCTTGGTCATGACTGACTACTTCACAAAATGGGTGGAGGCCAAAGCATATCCATCGGTCAAAGCAATCGACGTCCAACATTTTGTATGGAAATTCATTATATACCAGCACGGTGTCCCATATGAAATCATCACTGATACCGGATTACCATTTATCTCGTCAACTTTCCGAAATTTTTGTGAAGGCTGGGGAATACGTATAAGCTACTCAACACCCTGTTATCCTAAAGGAAATGGTCAGGCAAAGGCGTCCAATAAAACAATCATTGATGGTCTCAAGAAAATGTTAACAGACTTCGAGAGAAGATGGACAGATAAACTAGATGGGGTCCTCTGGTCCCACGGAACTACCCCGCGAACTGCAACAGGAGAACCCCCATTTTTGTTGTCTCACGTTTGTGAAGCTTTGGCATCCGCTGAACAGCATGTGGCAAGTGCTCGCAGAACTTTAATAGTTCAAGATTCGTAGTTAAACGATGAGAAACAAGTCGATACTCTTGACAATTTAGAAGAACTTTGCGATAAAGCTTTACTTCGTATTCAGAATTACTAGCAACAAGGCTCCAGGTACTATGGCTGACCACCAACCCTTTGATACTTTGGTTCAATTTAATTAATTTCGAAGTGGATAGGATGAAAGCCGAAGACAATACTCTCATGACCCTTGGTCAAACCTTTTGGGCCGAAGTGAATCCTGAAAGCATGGTATTCGATCTCGTTGTCGTTTGGTATAAGACGGGCAAATGAAACTCGCTTCCAGTACCGGGCTAAAAAGTACTTACGCATCGCAAATCAATGGTCCTTCAGAATTAAGGGTTATCACGCACAAAAGCGTCACTTCGCATACCTCACTAAAAATTACTTCGATTGATTAATTTATCTAAGTCAGCTAGGTAAGTTTATCACTTTGCTTTATTTATTTAGCATTTTCTTTAAATCTGATTATTTAAGTCCCATGGAAATATTGTCATGGCAAGTGGCACTTAACATATATTTGCAAAAAAGACTATTACAAAAAAAACATAAGAGCATAAGAGCTTGTTTTCTATGAACGTAGCCTCGACATTCAAATCTCCGCTGTTTTTAGATCAGGAATCAAGGAAAATATGTCCGCTTCCGTCGACATAAAATAAATGAAGATATCAAAGTCTATTCGGACGATGATGTCAAAGACGCAATTTATAAAGAATGCTTACCCTTCCGAAGCAGCAGAATCATTCTTCATTATAGGAGCTTTCCTGATGCCGCAACGCTTTACTTTTAAACGGTCAAGCTTGATTCTAAGGGCTAGGAGTTTGTCGACAGGAACTTCACAACCTGCAGATCGCATCTGTTTGTAACAAGCTATAGACGCTTCGGCATCAATCTTGAGTTCAAGTCGATGAATTTCCTCCCCTTGCGCCAGGAACGCCTTTATCCGGCGAATACAAGGATAATACCAATAACAAGCATGCTGATGCAAAAAACGAGCAACACGTTCGACAGACCTCTGATGTGACTTTTAAAACTTCTCTTCTGCAGCAGCACTCCTCTCGCTTTCCGCGACAGCCCTCCTTTCCAAATTCCCCCTATGCAGCTGCTTTTCTTTGGAAGATTCAACTTTGAACCCTTGGAGTTCAAGCTCTAATTTAAGGTTTTCGCATTCAAGATCTTTAATCATCACCTCCGCACAAGGTAGTTCCCGATCTTTGATCAGTAACTCCTCAGTCTTGCTCTCTTCATACAACGAATCTTGATCATACGCAAATCCCGAGCCCCTGTAAAATATTTTTCACCAAAGCAGATTAAGTGGACGAATCGCACAAGAAGGGGAATCAAATTTGAAGATAATAAGAGACAAATCTACATAAAGCGCTGAGCCATTATGGAGAAGCTCTCCAACCGCTTCAGTTTCTCAATAGACATTCCTCTATTCGGCTTCACTCTAAAATGCCAAACCAAATTTGTGGCAAAGTACTCATCAAATATTACTGTGGACTTTCCGTTCCACTGCAGGAAAAAACTGATGACGGTTGAAACTCGAATCCTCGTCGGCACTTTGATTCTCTGGGATCTTTGAGGAATTATTTGTAGAAAGCGGCGAATTAAGTTCATGGCCCTCCGTTTCCTTAAAAACAGGATCTTGTCCTCCGATTGAAGAAGCACCCATCGAACTCTCAGTCAAAATCTTCGGCGGAAGCAAATCAGAAGATCCTGCATACTCTCCCAAGTCGGTGATATTGACGGCAGGATTATCATCGTTAACCGCCGGAGCATCTTCGAGCAATGGTAGATCTCTCCGCGGAGTCGTGATTCTCAGGATATCAATTTCAACCAGAGGAATCTTGCTTCTTCTCTTCAACCCCATCTTCGCAGAAGAAATTCAGAAGCAAACACAACAAGATGGCTAAAGATTAAAATTTCCCTGAAAGAAAAGTAAATATCAAAGTCAGAAGATGGAAACCCAACGGTTAACCAAAGGAGTGCTTTAATCAGACTCTGGTTCCCGTGTCAAGTACCTTTGCCCTTCCCGCCTAGTACAAAACCCTAAAGTATAGTGGG